TTTCTGTTTGCATTGTGATGGATGTTGTGTGTGGAAACATAACGGAGGGGTTGTTATTTGAGATTTTGTATGCAGATGATTTAGTCTTGATGGCTGATAGCATGGAAGAATTGCAGTTAAAATTTGACAGATGGAAAAGTGTTATTGAAAAGAAAGGGTTAAAAGTTAATATTGGTAAGACGAAGGTAATGGTGAGTGGGGAAGGTGGGGAAGGTGGGGAACGAGTGATAAGTAAAATAGACCCCTGTGGGGTATGTGATAGGAGAGTGAAGGCTAACTCGGTATTGTGTATAGGATGTCAGAAATGGGTGCATAAGAGATGTAGTGGTGTGAGGGGGGGCACTGAAAAAGGTGGAAGGCACGTTCAAATGTAAGAAATGTGTTCATGGTGTGATTAATAGGACGGACGCAAGGACGGGGTTGAGTGATGGTATTGAAAGAGTGGAAAGCTTTGTTTACTTAGGGGATAAGCTGAATGCGGATGGAGGATGTTTGAGCGCAGTTACGGCTAGAGTTCGTGTGGGATGGATGAAATTTAGGGAACTGGGTGGGGTATTGTGTGGAAAGAAATGGTCAGTGAAGATGAAAGGGAGGGTATATAAAGCATGTGTGAGAGCAGCGATGATATATGGTGGTGAAAGTTGGGTGTTGAGGAGAGAGGAGGAAAGTGTACTGCAGAGGGCTGAAAGAGCTATGGTGAGGATGATGTGTGGGGTTAAAGTGAAGGATAGGAGGAGCAGTACAGAGCTGATGTCAATGATGGGACTGAATGAGGACATTGTGACATTGATAAGGAGATCGAGATTGCGGTGGTATGGACATGTGTTGAGAAGGGATGAAAGGGTCGGGATTAGGCGAGCGTTGGAGTTCGAGGTTGAAGGAGTGGTAGGAAGGGGTCGTCCGCGATTGGGATGGAGAGAGCAGGTGGAGAAGGACAGGGTGAAAGCGGGGTTGCGTGATACTGAGGCGAGTGACAGATGTGGATGGAGTCGAGGGGTATTTCGGTTTCATCATATGTAGCCAAACGGCAACCCCCGATCTCGGGGAAAATGCCGTCTAACCGTGTGTTTATATAGCTGGTTTTTATATAGCTTTAATTAGTAATTTGAAGAGAGCTTGAATTTCTAAAGTACTCGAGATGAAAAAGATATGTACCAAAATTAAACAGATAGATGGCAGGCCGAGCAATAATTATGAAACAACTAAAAAGACCAGATTTACCAAAAAAAAATCCCCTATATACACGTTTATATAATCCGCTAATTAGTTTTAAAACTTGAAAAAATGTATTCAAATAAAAATTTGTGATTGAAGAATCCAAAAAT